CGCAGAGGCTTGCAGATGTGGTCCGCAGACTACAGACATTTTTACTTCAAAAAAACAAACAACACCTTAGAAGCTAACAAATGGTCACTCAAGCCCAAGGGACGGAAATTAGGGTTTTGAGAGGGTTGAGGGATGGAAATGGTGTCCAGAAATGAGGCTATCATGTTCCTTAAATAAGGACACACCCCTCAATTAAGGTTTTCATTCTGAGCCTAGTATGTCCAGTGTACCCTCTGGTATGCCCAATGTACTAGGTGGCCTCTACATCCAAATCATGCACATGAGTACGCTGAGCGTACACAGCGCACGCCCCACGTACTCAGTTACCACATTTTCTCAAATAAAGGGCCAAACTTGAAAACTATAATAAAACAAGGGTTAATGAGATGTACCTGTCTCGGGATGTTACATAACCATAACCTCCTCCTCGAGTAGTCACCACCATAATAAAATACAAACATATAAACGTTCATAAAATACCCTAGGGAGCTCTCACACTATTAGCTCCTTAAGAACTCCATGACCATCCTTGACTCGAGTACAAATAATATGTTTTCATTAGTATGAGTCCAATACTACCTTCCACACCTATTTGTACTTTCCTCAAGAATCATCCAGAATCCCCTAAGTTACTTAAGCAAGGCAATTCACATAAACCCTTATGCTACACAACATACAAGCTTGCTACCACACTTCCTAGGAATCCTTATCTTACTTGCTCCTACACTATAAGGAGCTTCTACAAACACCACTAATTGCCTTATGCATGCAAATTATACATAAACAACAGACCGTAGAATAAATGATTCTACCCTAAGCCCACAAATAGGCAAGGAACAGGAAATAAGGCTAAATCAGTTATTCTAGGACTATATGTTCTAAACAATTTTAAAGCATATACTTAGCAATTAATTTTGCCAATATAGACCCCAAGTAATATATAGTATCCATTCTCCCTAGGCTACAAGTCATCACACAAATCAGGAAATTTGATCATGCAATTCCTGAAGATATCCTTAGCCCTAATATAGCACGAGTTCACATAATAACATACTAATCATAACACTTATGTATGGGTATTTTGGGAATCAATTACTTCAGCTTGGCTGGTCGCACGCATTGCACCCCATTTCCTTGTAAAAATCCTTTTAGAAAATTTATTTTCTTTTAAAAGATTATCAATTCCTCAGTTTTAGTTCAGACACACCCGAGAGTGTGCCTGAATCCCTCAAACCAAGGCTCTGATACCAATTTGTAACATCCTCAAAACAAGCATAAGTTTTTTTCATTTTTAATTCATCAAATCTTATGATATTTTCCAAAAACCCATCATAAAAATGTATCATAGTCATCAGAGTACAATAATAGTCATCAATGCAAAAAAAAAAATCATCAGGAGGATAATGCAGTGTAGTAAACCCGATCCCTTCCCTTTAGAGCTGGAAGTACCTGAAAATATTCAAACCATAAAATCGTAAGCACAGAGTTTAGTGAGTTCCATAAAACACCACATACCATACATACATTGTTATGGGCTATATCCATGGTCTTGCATAAAAGTGTTATGGGTTATACCCATGGTCTTTCATACCCTTGCATGGGCTACCCCTATGGTTTTTTCCATGCATTGCCTTAGCTACCCCAAGGTCTTATATATAAGTGTCACAGGCTACCACCATTGTCTTTCATATAAATGTCACGGGCTACCCCTAGGGTCTTCCATGTAAGTATTAGATAGACAACAGACATCATACATGGTATAATGAGAAAACTCATTTGTCTCATGAAATCAACTAATAACACAACTCATTTCCACGCAAACAATGATATGACTCACCTATTAATTTAAATAAGGCCCAACCTTAGTTTAACCTCTAACACTAGTCATTTGACCAAAATTCAAACCAACCCAACAAGTTAACGATCAAGGTCAAGTAAACGATCAACTCTTCCATTAGTTAACCGTTACATCATGACCAGCTCATGGCCACATCGTGGGAAACAGACCCGACTCTGGCCCAAATCAGTAACGATTCAACTCGATCTTAGGCTTAACTCAGACTTGAACCAACCCGTCGTCATGTCGTGATGTACATGTCATCGTCTCGTGATGAAAATTAGTCCAAAATGGTTGGGGAAATCCCTAGTCCTCACGTTGTGACAGTAAGGGTGTCACATTGTGAAAACTTGCTAAACCAGCTTAATGGATTAAGTTATTTTCCATTTATTCCATGAGATCCAAAGCTCATATCTTATTCGACCCAATGTCCAAATGGATAAAGTTTCCAACTTTATCCATTGAGACATCACTCTACGATAAGATCTCAAGTCTAAGGTCCTTAATGACAACTTTAATGCATGAAACCACCCATTAATCACTTAATTCATAAAGTCTTTAATCAAAAACTTCCAGAAGGGCTTTAGGGACCCTAATGATCCCTAAAATGCAAACTTTATGGACATATATGCCTCATGCATGTCCTTTCCTAAATATAGGTCAAAAAGATGCACAATGACCTGAGATCCAAGCAAAGTCTTCAAACCACCACAAATTCTTAGATCTATAAAATATGATGCTCATGGGACTTAGAGAAACCATAAAGTTGCAAACTTTATCTCTTCAAATCATACCAACCACATCAAAGGCACCAAATCATGACAAAAAACCTAAATCTAAAAAGGAAAACATTAAAATATGGAAACTTGAGGACTTACAAAGAGTCTAGAACATGCACACAAGTGAGGGAAAGGTTGCTTTGTTGAGCCTAAGCACCAACTCTTATTCCATTTCCTTTAAAACCACCAAAAGCTTGCAAAAATAAGCAAACAAGCTTCAAAAGGACTAGGGTTTGGCCAAAGGGTCGTTAAGAGGTGATGGAGGCTGAGGGTGAAGGAAACCTTAGCCCTTCAATTCTTTTAAATAGGTTCCAAGTCTGAAACTAACGTTTTGCATTTGAGGAGGTGTCACATCATGAGACACAAAGATCCTTCCTAAAGAATTTGGCCTTGTCCCGACATGACGGTGCTTTCCTCACACCACGAACCTCCCAAAACTCATATTTGTTTAACATTTTCATACCTCAAGGATCCAGTTGTTACATATTTTATTGTGGATACATTTCAAGATCAAAATTTAGTCATTTGTATTTCATTAGGTTCGACTTTCATATATGCAAATTTCGAACATCGATAAACGAGTTTATTAGAACTAACAAGTTCTTTCTCAAATAACTTCGTTATCTCTCCCATCTCTAGAGCTTGTGACCACCTCACTCCGCTAGTCCGACGAGAGAAGATAAGAACTTGAGGCATCGTTGTAGATTTGATTTGACTGAGAGATTTGAGATGGGGATTCAATTTATGGAGGAGAGGCATCACCACCATTGTTGGGTTCGTTTAATTTCATGTTTTAATATGGCTTCTTGGAAAGAGATTTGATATGGGTTTCTGATTTCAGGTTTCAATATCGATTTGTGTGAAGGATTTGATATGGGTTTATGGGATTCTATCAGATTCCAAATTATCTAAGTTACATGTCTTTACAACTGTGGTATCGCTGAAAGTAAGATGTAGAAGTTGTTAGTGATGACCCAACATTAATAGTGATGGTGGTCAGTACCAGTGAAATGCTTTTTAACATGGATATGGAGGGGGAGAGGAACCAATGACGTAGCTGCAAGATTGTCTGCTCCGACGAAACAATATCTTTTTCTGTGAGATTGTAAAAAAAAAATTGAGTGTTTTTGTTCTTTCTTTGGCGGTGGTGGTGATGGTCTGATGGTGGTGGTGATTTTATGTCAAAGAATTTTAAGGGAAACATGGTTTAGAAGGAAAGATGTTAGGATAAGGTGGGTGGGATAGAACTTTTTATTTTATTTTGTATATTATAAATAATTGTAAGAAAGACAAAATAAATCAAGAAAAGAATTAAAAAGATAGAAGAATCATTTTATGTAGCGTAATGAATGAACCGTGCAAATTGAAAGTAACGAAGGATGACATGTGCAATTTTTAACCCAAACGAGGGATAATACGAATTTATTTTAAAAAATAGAGACTGAACAAGTTTTTTTGATGCCTACACGAGAGACTATTTGTGTAATTTACTCTTAATAATTTAAAAGCAAATAAATAAAAAATAATACGGAAAAAAAAAACAAAAGAGTAAATTTTTAGGCACTTAACGCTATGGATTTAATGATGAGAAGTCAAGGACCAACAATACAACAACCATACAAGAAAATGAAACTATAAATTTTGATGTTGCTAAATTTATGAAACTTAGGTGTTGTTTGTTTTTTGGAAAAAAAAAAAGTTTTTCAGACCTCTTATTGCTGTGCGGAGCAGCACACACGCATCATTTTTAATCCCGCAGCTGTTTGTTTTTTAGAAGTCTTCAGAGTCAAAAACTTTTGCGCGTGTTCTGTTTGGCGCAGCACTTGTACTGCCTCTTCCAACCTTTTTTTTCCTTGTTGAAAATTTTATTATATGTTGTTGAAATTTTATTTCATTTTTTTGTTTATTCTTGTTGATTTTTTTTTATTTTTTTTTATATTGAATAATGATAGATTCTTGATGAAATATCATTATTTTTTGCTAAATATCTTTATTTTTTTTTGTTGAAATATGATTATTTTTTATTGAAATATCATTAATTCTTGCTGAAATGTTATATATTATTAAATTTTTCGTATTAAAAAACTATTTTTGATTTATAAAATTAGTTTATTTTAATTTTTTAATATCTACAGCAGTATGCAGATGTTAAAAAAAAACAAATACGTTTTTTATTACAGTCTGCAGTCGTTTGGTCCACCTCTTCTACTGCAGAAGGTTGCAGAGGTGATCCGCATACTTCATGAATATTTGCTTCAGAAAATCAAACAACAACTTAGAGTCAAAGTGTGATTTTTAATACTAAAGGGACCATTTTTGTAATTCGGTCCTAACTTTTACTATATTTCTAAGAAGTAAAACAGTGAACTTGTGAAAAACTACAAATATGTGATTATTATCTTTCTTGGACGCATCAGAAATCACCATCATTATATATCTCTGTAATTTCTTTATCTGTTGGGAAAAGAAATAAGCCTGTAAAGCCACTTTTGGTGTGGAACATACCCTTGTTTGTTCTTAAGCCCTTTAACAAAAAAACAAATTCAATTGTATAGCTTGTCCCTTTTCTTTTCTTTCCAAGTTTCAACTGATTAAATCTGTATGTACTAAGATAAGAAGCCAACAACGGAGGGACCAAAAGCAACTTTTCACAAAATTTCTGAAACAATTTTCCAGAAATTTTTAAAGCGTTCTCATCTCATATACACAGACTACAGAGTAACTCATCTCTCTCTCTCTCTCTCTCCTTTTATTTCTTTTTCACTTTCAAAATAAAACTAAGCCCTGAAGCCCATGCCCACATGCTCATAGACATAGACCCCAATTCACACACCCACCATTTTCAGGCCTGCAAATGAGTAAAAAAGCTTGCCCCTTACAATGATTATAAAAAACAAAGCATGCACAACAAGGTGTTTGTTTAAAAGAATTCCATAACTTCATGCTCTCCACTGACCATATATAACCACCCCCATCTACATTATATTGTTAGTTTTTCATCTCATCTCACTGAAAAGCGTAAAGTGTAAATCTTGACTTTGATTCTTGAAAGAAACACATGGCCATGACAATGGCTGTTTCGCTGGTGGTTATGCTGTGTGCTTTCGCGGTGGTTATGGGTAAACCATCGTTGTCGGAATCCGACAAGATTTTGAAATTGCCTGGACAACCACCAGTTGGGTTTCAACAATTTTCAGGTTATGTCACCTTGGATTCGAAAAGAAAAAGAGCCCTTTTTTACTACTTTGTTGAAGCTGAAGTTGATCCAGTTTCAAAACCACTGGTTCTGTGGTTGAATGGAGGTAAGAATTTGAAATCAAGAACGATGAAGAAAAAGCTTAAAAGTTATGAAAAATTGAATTGAAATCAATTTCCGTGAAGTTTTGATTAAGCAAACTTGTTGTAGGGCCTGGATGTTCATCACTGGGTGTTGGAGCATTCTCTGAAAATGGACCTTTTAGGCCAAATGGTCAGGGACTGGTTAGAAATGAGTATAGCTGGAACACAGGTACATCAATTGCAATTATGATGAAAAAAGATGATACCCTTTTTAGTTTTAATTGATTTAATTTCACATTTTGGATTAAAATTACATGGGTTGGTTTTAATTTTTTTGAAAAAATTACAGAGGCGAATATGTTGTACTTAGAGACCCCAGTTGGAGTAGGGTTTTCTTATGATTCATCGAATTCTTCTGGTTTTGAAGTCGTCACTGATGCAATTACAGGTATTTCTGGTGATTTTACTTTCGGCATAATTATTTGTTTACTTATGTTCTTTATGCCCTAAAAATAGCTTTGAGCAAAAGAAGTTACCCTTTTTTAGGAACCTCAAAAGGCCTTTTTTTAATGTGTTATTCCTTCAAAAGAACCTTAAAAAAGTTGTTTTTCTTGAGTTTTCATGTACTGTGAAAATGTAGGAAAATGGGTTCTTCAGTTCTTCTTCTTCTTCTTCATTTTTCTTTCTCTAAATTTCTCTCTTTTTTTTTTTTTTTTTTTTTTTTTTTTTTAATTTAAAGCTAGGGACAATCTTGTGTTCTTGCACAAATGGTTCTTGAAATTCCCTCAGTATCAGCAGAGAGATTTGTTCATAACAGGAGAAAGTTATGCAGGTAATCTTTATATCTTTTTTTTTTTGCACACGATTTTTTCAATAAATTTCTTGAATTCCCAAGTTAAAAAAAAAAAAAAACTTTAATTTTCTTTTTATTTATTTTTAATGCCTTTTTTGGGGGTACTGGTGCCAGGTCACTATATTCCGCAACTAGCTGAACTTATGGTTCAATTCAACAAAAACAAGAAGCTTTTCAATTTAAAAGGAATTGCTGTAAGTGTTACAAAGTAAACCACAATTCTCATGTTTTCTGTTATATTTAAGACAAATCCATGAAATACAAAAAGGGAAAAAAGAGTAATATTCCCAACATTCCAAAAAGATACAAGCTTTCGCCTTTTCAACTTTATAATTGTTAATCAATCTGAACTTGATTTTACAAAAAAATAAATCGTCCAAATCAATTGTGTTACACAAATTCTACAAATTACAAAAAAACTTACGATAAATTGATTATAGATCCAAAAACTAGTAAGATTTGACTTTTTGAAAGTCAACTGAGTATAACGTATGTGAAACAATGCAGCTAGGAAATCCAGTGTTGGAGTACGCAACTGATTTGAATTCAAGAGCTGAGTATTTCTGGTCTCATGGGCTTATATCAGATTCAACATACAAATTATTCACATCTGCATGCAATTATTCACGATATGTGAGTGAATACTACAGAGATTCAGTTTCCCCCATTTGCTCAAAAGTATATAGTCAAGTAAGCAGAGAAACCAGTCGATTTGTGGACAAATATGATGTTACTCTTGATGTCTGTATTCCATCAGTGCTCTCGCAATCCAAGATCATTAGCCCACAGGTTCCAATTTCTTCGTTAATCACACCATAAATGTAGTTTGATTTGTTAATCATCAGTTTTTTCATGCCATTAATTACATAGATCATCATCATAATTCATAATTGTTGTATTTAATTAATTGCAGCAAGTAACTGAGAGAGTCGATGTTTGTGTGGAAGACGAAACTGTTAATTATCTCAACAGACGTGATGTGAGGAGAGCTTTACATGCACGTTTGATTGGAGTCCGAAAATGGGAAGTTTGTAGCAAGTAAGTTCTTGCTTTTTTATAAAGTATATGTAAACGGATTATTAATTTATTAAATCTCGATCTAATATATTTATTTGTTTTTTGTTTAAATTTGGAAACCAGCATCTTAGATTATGAACTGCTGAATATCGAAATACCTACCATCAATATTGTGGGATCACTCCTCAAAGAAGGAATTAGAGTTCTGGTTTATAGGTATACAAGATTTTTAATTTTTTTTTTTGTCCTTGATTTTGGTTACTTAAATTAAGGGTTAAAATGCAAGAAAATCAACCTACTACTTACATTGATTTGTTTAAGATTGCATCATACTTTTACATTGTACTTTGAAAAATGTACCACATTATAGCAATGTCACGTGAATTACAAATTAAGCAAAATTTGATGTTGTAATTGAGTAGATTTTCTATAGTATAATGCTATAATTGGGTAGATTTTCAAAGTACAATATAATGATATATTTTGCATTTAACCCATTAATTAAATGTATAACTACACAAAAACTTGACTTCTAAGATTCAAATCTAGTACTTTCCACGATTTTAAGATTAAAAGTATATAATTTGACATTCAAAGTCAAACCAAAGAAAAAGGGTATACCCCACCCATCAACCGGTCCCACAACCAACACGGGAAGTACATGACCCTGTCCCCTGAGACCCTGATATGGATTCTCACCTCCTTACTGTCATCAGGACAAGTCAGTGTAAATTATACTGAGTGAATCTTTTATTGATTAAACTACAAATATAATAGTGGCGATCAAGATTCTGTAATTCCATTGATGGGGAGCCGGGCTTTAGTCCATCGACTCGCTACAGAAATGGGACTTGAAACAACCGTACCATATCGAGTTTGGTTCGAAGGGCAACAGGTAATGCTGAACTGATTGTATTGCATGCATTAGAAGTTGTACATATACATTATGGAAGATTTGAATAATTGATGGTTTTGACTTATTGTTGAATTAATTAATATTGGGTAATTTCAGGTTGGAGGGTGGACTCAAGTGTACGGAAATATATTCTCATTTGCAACTGTAAGAGGCGCATCACATGAAGCGCCATTCTCACAGCCTGAAAGATCATTGGTGTTGTTTCGGTCGTTTTTAAAAGGGAATCCTTTACCGGAATCGTTTTGACAGTTGATCATGCAAATAAAAGTATATTTTGGGTTTGATTGTAAGTAAATTTTGTTCATCAAAGTGGTAATTTGTAATTGAGTCAACTTTTTTTTTTCTTTCTTTTTGTGAATTTTATGAGTTGAAAATGTTGTGGAAATTGAAAGAAAATTTGCACGTTGCTTGAATGTTATGTGGAGATTGAATTTTTTGTCAATATGAAAGTAATGGTGGTTGGTTGGTGCCTGGTGGCGGCAGACCGCCAGTTCATGGTGGTGGTGCTTCCCGTAACAATGGTGATCGAATTAATGGCTTTTCATGATGTTGCCATTTGTGTTACCGGTGGTGGCGTGGGGGTGTTTCTTTTTGCTGCTTGTGTTGAGGGTGGTGGTGATGTTTCTGTTTAAAATGGAAGAATGTTTTAGAGAGAGAAAGTAACAGACTTTTTAGAGAGAGAACCGATATGTTCCTAACGTTAAAAAGCGGGGTTCGATTATTGAAGAAGCAACATTATAAGCCAAGATATTTAATTCTCAAACCAAACGCCAAGTTATATTTTACTGCCCCAAACTAAAAATATGTGTATTAAAATATTATTATACTAGATTATGACCCGAATAAAACGCGGAGAACATATAAAAAAGTTCGCACTATAAAAAAATAAAGTAACAAAAACAGATTTAGTATTATTGATAACGTTGAAATATCTGGAAAAAAAAACAATGAAACACTTGAATATCTATAATCGTTGATAGATTTCTTTTGGACGACCTTCGTCATATATGAGTACTTTCAGTCCTTTTTCACTTGTGACACGAGAAACAAAAAACATATAACTGCCAATGAGTGAAGACGAATCTACGCAAGTATAATCCAAGATTTGATAATTATTGTCATTGACTTTTGTTAATGGCCATAACAAAATAAACAACTATGAGGAATTGTCTCCGCTAAAAACGGAATTAGATTCTTTTATTAGACGGAGTTAACTTCATGCAATGTATATAAGTAGTCTCGTTGAAGAATCTAGTATATATGATTCAGGCTTCAATGACATATCTTCCAATCCTAACAATATGTAACCTAGTACCCTTGCATAGTCCTTTGGTTTGTTCGATATTACAAAGTAACATGACTGGAACACCTATTTTTAGTGTAAGTTTATGGTTAGAAATTCTAGACGCCTTAAAACCATTCAACACAACTGAAGAGTAAATTGATTCCTAAAAAAAATCTGGTAACTTTATCTGACATAAAGAGTTTGAACTCATATATGTTTTCCCTTCATCTTTCATCAATCCTTAAATGTAGTCATTAGTAGCATCGAATTCTTCATTTGTAGGTACCAAAATAGCTTTATCTTGAAAATATAATGGATCATCAAGATGGTTTTCAAATGATGGATAAATGGTGGATACAATTGAATGAATATGGTCACCTGTAGAGCGAACAACGTCTTTTGGAAATTCAACTTCAACATCATTAGGGCCACCAGTATTACCTTCACTGGTTTTAAGAATCCACTCATCAAATGCTTTTGTCTCATCCAAATCATTAGTTAGACAACCAAACTAAAGCCTCATGTTTGCGGTTAAACGTAAAACTATACATTCACGCCATAATTCAACAAGGGAAGCTAAACGATTTACGATATACCTAAATAATCAAATGCATATCAACTCGATAACATTAATTGACAATGTTCAAGGTTTAATGTTAGAAGTTTGATGTACAATTTAGGAATTGATTTTAGATTTACTACAGTTCAAAGTTCATTGTCTGTTTTGGATGATTACTCAAATTACAATGCTAATCTCAGTGGGGGTCACTAATATGGTTGATGGTCTGATCTTGGTCGATGTGATGTGTTCTTCTCAATCACGAAATCAATGTGGATAGTCTGCAGACCATGTGTTGAGTAACACCTAAGTGAAGCATTTTAACACATTTAGAGCAACATAAATCCATTAACTTGCATGAGATAGTTGGGTAGGGTCAATCAACAGGAAGACCTTATTACAGTAACTTCAGAACATTAGGTTATGAATATGCAACATTGTTTTGTATATTGATCAGATTCTTTCTGGTAAAAAAATCCTTTAAATGTTTCCTGATAATGATCATTAGAAAGTACAAAACATGTCAAATAACATTTTAGCTTTATTACATCTCGAAGTTATTTCATATGCTATTTTGAGAGCATCTAAATGGTGTGTAAGCTACTAAAATGAATAAAGATTTTGAATAAATTGGGTTAGTCAAAACTGAGTTTTTCTTTTTCTTGTTCGGGTTGTCATATCAGGATTTTATCCTTTTCCAAAAAGATTTCTCCACATATGTTCATCAAGGTAGGCATTCAAGGAATCTACTTGCAGTTAAATAATTCCAAAAAAAGTTATTTTTAAAAGTACGATGTTATTAATGATTTTTTTTTTTTGCAAAGTTCAATGCTATTAATGAAATTTTCTTCCAGAACATTGTCCTACAAATGAGCTTCAATGTTGGAAACATGAAACGTTTCAATATCATCTAAAAATATTCTAAAATAATATATATTTTTTTAAGTACAATGCTGTTTTTTTTTTTTTTTTTTTGCAAATTTCAATACTAAAAACAAATTTTCCCTAGAAAATTGTCATATTAATGACCTACTAATTAACATTTAAATTTATATATTACATAAATTGTCGTATTAAACATTTCCATTAATACCCAAAAAGGCATATAAATCATGCCTCATTTTGTAATTAATTTCAATGCCCCACAATGTGGAATCCTCTCAGTGACAGCATTTCTGTAACATCCGGAATCCCAGGTATATTATTTAAATATTTATTTTTGGATTATGTGAAGGAACTCAGCGAGTTAATGCGTAGACTCGCTGAGTAGGGTCATGGTAGATCATCCGGGTTTGCATTGGACTCGGCGAGTCCACGCTGTTTAATGAAACTCTAATCCTCCGGGGTTAAAGCCTATTAAGGGCACTCTTAGCCTTCCATTGCGGCTACCAGTCCCTTGAGAGCACCCTTAGTGATCTATATCGTTTGGGAGGAAGGATAAGCCATAATTGATCTTTCTATCCTTGGTTTGGCAAAAAGAAGGTGATCAAGAGCAAGAGGAGGCTGAAGGAGGTGTGATTCAAGTGGTTTCAGAGTCCAGAGACTTCAACTTGAGGTATTCATTCAGACCTTCTTTAGTTTTGGTATTGAACTTAGAGATTAGGGTTTTCTAACCTCTTTTGAGGATGTTTATATGGAGCAATTGGTTCCTTATCGAGTCTATGCTTTGGATTCAGACTTAAAGAGGTCCAGAGACTTCAATCTATTAAGCTTTATGAGTCCTTGTGGGGTGATTGGACTTAGGTTGCCATTTTTGGGACTAAATCACCATTTGATGCCATTATGTATATATATAAGCATCAAGTTTCGAGCTTTATGTGATTATATTGCTTGGGAAGGTCAGATCTATGGATTTGAGGAACGGATCTGACCTCAAGAGGTCAATAGAACTTGTTCATGGCATGTACTCACCGAGTTGTTCTTGGGACTCGACAAGTTGAGTCAGGGTAGCCCCGTGATTCTTGCCTGGGGACTCGTCGAGTAAAGGGAGGGACTCGACGTGTTAAATGGGACTAAGGAGTTAAGCGGACATAGGTGGACTCGCCGAGTTGCCCAAGTGCACTCGTTGAGTCAGGTTAAAGTTTGACCGTTGACTTTTAGGGTGTGGTTAGCAGTGAGGCCTTTTGAGACAGAAGAGGGGTAAAATGGACTTTTACCCTTCTGAGGATGTTAAGAAAGGTTGGAGTATAGTTATATTTATGGAAGTATTTGTTTTATGTGTTTAGGCGGAGGCTAGATCGTATTTCTACCGAGTCAGTGATTTACCGAGATATCAGAGGTGAGTCTTCTCACTATACTGTACCTGGAAGGGTACCTATGTGTGACCGGAAGGTCGGATATGCTATATGATATATGCATTGAATGTGATTAGTTACCCGTTTTGTATGTGCTATGTATAGGGATGAGCATATGGACCGAGGAACCGGCCGGAACCGGTACCGGAACCGGAACCGAAACCCGATGGAACCGGTCGGGCCGGGACCGGGACGTTATTTTTGTGGATTTTTGGAACCGGGAACCGGTAGGAACCGGAACCGATATAACCGGAACCGGTAGAACCGGAAAAAACCGGTAGAACCGGAAAGAACCGGAACCGTATGATGCTATTTTTGAAGGATCGGTTCCAACATTTGAAGAGACGACAAGAACCGGTAGGAACCGGGAACCGGTAGAACCGCCGGGCCGGTTCGGTTCTTGATTTTGGCCGAAGCCGGTTCCCGGTTCCGGTCCGATTCGGTCCTTTTGCTCATCCCTAGCTATGTATGATATGCTTGATATGGGCCGAAAGCCATTGTGATGTGGACTGGAAGGTCGACACAGGTAGGACCAGAAGGTTTATCGGGTTGGGACGGAAGTCCCCTGAGACACATGGACCAGAAGGTCATGGCCTGGAAGGGCGTACATGTGTAGGTGGTATTTTGGGGAACTCACTAAGCATTTATGCTTACTGTTGTTGTGTTATGTGTTTCAGGTATTAGCAAGGACCGTGGGAAGGCGCCGGCGTGATCTGTACACACTGACGAAAGATTCATTTTATGATCTTGGGATGTATTTTTATTATGATGACAATTGCTAAACATGAGATTTGAGAATATTATATGATGGTTTATATTGTTTGAAAAATAACAAAATTTGTTTTGAAAATTCACGTTGTTACAATTTCAGAACTCAAACCACAATAGATAATCAATATGAAGAGAAGCTGTAATAAAAAATACTAATTGTCACTATCTTATACAAATATTACAGATTATTGGAGTGTTAGATAACGTAATAACTTGCCTACAAAAAAATACCAACACCTTGTAGACATCACCTGTACAACATTTAATAAATATACAAAAAAACATTATATAAAATAAACTATGGTTATGATATCTCTTCTAAGGTACATATGATTATTGAAATTAATACCAACAAAAATCTTCAATATTTAAGTGGCTCTAAATACAACTACCCTCCAGTTTTAGGGCCCTTGACTTCACCCCACTCCCAAGCAGAAACGGTCCCTCAAATACTTTTAAAAAAAAACTTGAAATATTAAAATATACACACAAAAAGATGAAAATGCTAAAATGAACTTTCAAATATAACAACAATATTTTATAGACAATACTACAAACAAGTTAGAAACATGCAAATAGAGATGAAAGAACATCATAATTAGATTAACACCATACACTCATTCTTATCTTTCCTCTTCCCTTATAGGAGTTTATAAAACATTTTCTATTGTATGATGGATTTCTGAATTACTTTTTTGAGATATGTGAGATTGCAAAGAATGGAAGAACAAAGAAATGGAATGGATAGGTAATCGTAAAAGCAAGATAATTAAATAAGTAATTCCATTCTAGAAACATATTTGTGAGACATGGAATGGAACAATGAAAATTTCATACAATTTTTATGTTATATATTGCAATTTAAATTATAAAGATAATCCTTCACATATCTTTGTTTAGTTATTATTATGTAATTAAAAATGGTTTATATTGCAACTTTTATACTAATATCTTCTTTTATTGCTGAGAAAACCTTGATACTCACATTGTTACCAACCCTATTTTCAAGAGTGCAGGGTGTACCCATTTATCATTGAGAAAGTAAACTCAATAAAAAGATTCAAACCAATTAAACGAAAGAATAGGTTGTTCAAGGTTCTTACTATGCTTTTCGGCATGCCCAGACAACACAAGTTAACCCAAAAAAAAAAAAAAAAAAAAAAAAAAAAAAAACTGCTAATTAACCAAAATTAATCAATCCCAAACATTTTACAATAAGATTTATCGATGTAATCTGTTTACATGGTATATTAAAACTGTCTTTTCTTTGCTATTGAGTCTAAAAGATGTTTTTTTATAATATTAAAAAAGGATAAGTAATAACTTATTTCTGAGAGCCCACTTTGTATTTTTAAATATGTTTTTTACAATAAATCAAACCACATATCACTACTGGGTTTTGCTAAGTTGTAGAATATATGGATCACTCAATGATATAAGGGTTTAAATTCCATCTCCAAATATAGGAAGGGATGGGTAAAGCATTATAGATATTGACTTGAGTATATCTTCCATTCGCGACCTGGTAAGCCACAAAAAATCATTGACTAAATGAATATACAAAAATGTAAAATAAAGAAGAAAATCAACATATACAAATTTACTACCTAGTGGACATATCTTCCAAATTGAAGCAATGGATGAGAGGTAGTGGTGCTGCTGTGTCCATCATTTTGCTCTCTAGATATCTATAACTTAAAAAATCAAAATCAACAATACAGATCATAAGAACAAAAATCGAAGCAAATTCAAAAAATGTAACCATTATGGATTTAAACTTAAATCGAAAGGTTTTATAGATTGGAACTTCATAGTTGAAACAGAATAAAAGAAACATAATCTAAAACATACCCAACATCGATCTAAACTACGACCAAATTAAATTAGAATCCAAGGAAATTTATCTCTATATCATTCCTCCTTCTTTAATGATGATTGAACACAAGACTAGTCTACACAGATCGAAGCCGACATATATTCTATTTCTTCTTTCCCCATTTTCTTCCCCTCTACAAAACTTAGGTTAGATAAATTATGTAAAGAAAAAAATGAGAGAGTGTAGGGGTACTGGAAATGAGGGATGGGACGGGACATTTTTTCATTTTATTTTTGGTGACATTTAATTGTCATTAATAGAATTCCTAATTTAATTATTTTTATTTTTGGTGAGATTTAATTGTTATTAATAGAATTCATAATTTAATTAATTTTATTTTTGGTGATATTTAATTGTGATTAATAGACTTCCTAATTTAAAATGTAATATATGTTTTATAAAATTTGTGGACAAAAATAAAAGGGTTGACAGAGATGATGTCAGCAAATAATCCAATGATAGAAAATATAAGATTGAAATGCAATCAATAGCCCTGATTTCTTCAAGTTAGAATTAAATGTTCTCTTTTAATAATATTTAGAGATTTTTTTAACAAGTTTGATAAACTTGCCACTAAACCCATCATCTAATTAATGAAACGATGACTATGATTGGAATGGTGGATGGCCGGTGGTCGGTGGTGGAACGACGGAGGAAACAATTCGTGGATAGACAATGGAACAACAAAGGTGTAACCACTATGTTCGTATCAAACATCCCTGATGGGGTAAGCAAGGAGACTATAAGAAAGATTTTCAGTAATAAATATGGAGAGTTGACTGACGTGTACATGGCAACTAAGAAAGATTCAATACGGAAGAACTTTGCCTTTGTCAGATACAGAAATGTTAATGGAGATCGTGAACTGGAAGCGTCACTACAAAAGATTATGTGTTCAGGTGTTGTACTTTAATTTAATATTGCAAAGTTTGAAAGGAAGAAGAAGGATGAAAAGATAGAGGATGGGAAGGTGAAGACACAATCTGCTCAAAGAACAGCGATTCATTCGTATCGGGATAATAGATCTTTTGTGGAGGCGGTAACTGGGAGGATTCATCGTCCTCCACCTCCACCACCACCCCTTTCAAAAAAAAACCGGTGGTACTCACAAATGGAGCAATTATGGCGGAATGGCTACACAATCCCTTAACATTAGTTGGAGAAGCCCATAGCCTGGAAAAGCTTAAGAAAATCCTGCTCTTCCTCAGGCTAGGTGGAGAGCAAACTTACGGAATGAAATACCTTGGTGGACTAATGGTGGGAATTCGTTTTCGATCTCCGTCTGACGTCAAAGAATTTCTTTCGAAAAAAGACAGCTGGAATGACTGGTTCAAGGAATTCAAACACGGGAATACAATTAATGGAGTATTCGACAGAATAGCTTGGTTGAAGATTGTTGAGCTCCAAATTAGCCTCTGGAACGAGGAAAACTTCTCCAGAATTGGCGGAGAGTTCGGTAAAGTTCTGGAACCAATTGATATATCACCAAGCTCCCAAGATCTCTCCCTTAGGAACATATGTATCTTGACCGACAGGAAGTTGAGGATCAATGAAGAAATCCCGGTGGTAATAAATCGCAACATTTTTAACGTTGGGGTGATGGAAAGAGATTTCGATTGGTCCCCTTTCCCATCTGGTCCTTACGACATAATCATAGATAGTGAGTCGTTTCACAAAGGTGATACAGATGAATCTACTAGCACCGGGAAGAATGTGGATGATGGGTTATTGGAAGAAGGTGAAATACAAGAAGGGATTACCGGAGAGGCTGCCATTCCGGTGACGATCGATCCGGGACCAAATTCCGAACGGATAGAAGTTGAAGGGCCGATAGAAGATCAACAACCAATTCATGGCGGTCAAATTCTGCCGCCAAGAGATTTTGAAAGTCGTATTGACTTGGGAACAGGTAACAATGAATTCAATAGTGATGAAGAGTCAAATAGACCAGGCATGGAGAAACATCTTAGCCCAAATAACATTGTACCAGACCTTTATAGCCCAGTAGATAACTTAGTTGCAATGGGATGCTTTGGGCCTTTTTCTTCTGGTAAGAATAAGATAGATAAGGGGCCCATGTTCCCATCTAATACCCAAGTCACGATGGCCGGATATGAATCAGGTAACACAATGGATAAAAGGCGTAGAATTATTAGAACCCCCTTTCCTAAATCTCCGAAAAATCAATTACGCATCGATATTAATTGTCCAAATACAATCCCACCAGAGCAAATACCATTGCCCGATTCCCCGGTAGTGTTGTCGCCAACGGACGAAGCTAAAAAAACTGTGGAGATCGGTCAAATCCTAGGTTTTGAGATTGAGAATGTTGATCCTATTCTCACCGAGGCTATGGGCGAAATCGGAGAGAACCAAGTTCCCAGATGAATCTGATGACCCTTAATATCCGCGGGTTAGGTGAGAAATACAAAGCAGATTGGGTATGTAGGCTGCAAAGATCCCATAACCTAGTTTTCATGGCGTTACAAGAGACCCAACTTTGTGACCTACAAAGCTCATTAGACGTGTCAAGCTGCTGGGGCAATGCTAATCACGACTTCGATTGGGTAAATGCGACTGGTAGATCGGGGGGACTACTTTCAATATGGGATACAAATTTCTTAAATATAGTGGAAACGATTAAATCCAGGTACTTCTTAGCGATCTTTGGTTCCTGCCCATCTATTGAGGGACCATTGGTGATTGTTAATGTATATGGCCCTAAATCCATTCCTGAAAAATTACAACTGTGGCGGGATCTTCTAAACCTGAAACAGTCAAGAACGGGTACCTGGATAATCCTAGGCGATTTTAATGAATTCGGAAGTCCGATGAACGAATTAATTCTGTATTCCACAAACCGAGTGCGGATTCATTCAATTGTTTTATTCAAAATGCAGAATTACTTGACTTGAAGATGGGGGGGGGGGGGGTAGATTTACTTATTTTCAGCAGCATGGTGCTAAACTGAGTAAGTTAGACCGAATCCTAGTTTGTGAGAATTTCATAGCTAAATTTCCTTTGGCATTCTCGGATCATTCGCCAGTGATCCTTAAGACGGAAGTAGAAGATTTTGGTCCACCACCTTTCAAGTTATTTAATTCATGGATGTTGTGTGATGGGTTTGATCAGATTGTGGTAAAGGCCTGGGAAGAGTTCAAAGGATTTGGGGCGGCTGATATTTATTTAGTCTGTAAATTTAAATATCTAAAAGGTGAAATCAGAAAATGGAGAATGATCGAATACCAAAAGGAGAATCAGGAACTTCTGGACGTGAAGAAACGAATGACAGAAATTGATTCAATGGCGGAATTGAGACAATTAGCCGAAACTGAGATTGAAGAAAGGGCGAGGGGATACGGCAGAATTTTAGAACTGGAAAGATATGCATCTATAGATCTGAGACAGAAGGCAAGGTTGAAATGGGTGGTAGATAGAGACAAGAATACTAGATTTTTTCATGCTTATGTTAATAGCAGGGCAAGAAGAAACCAAATTCATAATTTTGTGGTTAATGGCGAATGGACCTCTCACCCCATTGAGATGAAAAATGCAGCAGTGACGTTCTTTTCCAGCAAATTCCATGAGAAGTGGGTGAATAGACCAAAGTTTAGTAGTAATCTATTCAAAAAACTTTCTCCAAACGATGTTGAATTTCTGGAGGCCCCGATTTCAATTAGTGAAATTAAAAATGCCATTTGGTCTTGTGGAAATGAGAAGGCCCGAGTCCGGACGGGTTCACCATGAAATTTTTCAAGAAATACTAGGAGATCATTAAAGATGATGTTTCAGCTTCGATTAAACATTTTGAAAGATGGGGTAAATTCTCAAATGGATGCAATGCCTCTTTCATCACGTTGGCAGCCAAAAGAAAAGACCCGCTCTCCCTTGATGATTATCGACCAATCAGCCTGATTGGTTCGATGTATAAGATCATCACAAAAATTCTTGCCTTGCGCATTAAAAAAGTGATTGGAAGTGTGGTTGATGAAGTCTAGTCTGCCTTTGTGGAAGGGAGAAACATTTTAGAGGGGCCCCTAATTGTCAACGAAGTTAGCTCTTGGGCTAAGTCAAATGGCAGGAAAATCTTGTTATTTAAGGCAAATTTTAACAAGGCTTTCGATTCAATCAACTGGGGATACTTCATTCCATAATGGCCCAAATGAACTTTGGACGTAAATGGAGGTCGTGGATTTGTGGTTGTCTTGATTCGGCTAGGGCCTCTATCCTCATTAATGGAAGTCCCACTGCTGAATTCTCAATGACAAAGGGAGTGAGACAGGGAGACCCCCTATCTCCCTTCTTGTTTATCATTGCTATGGAGGGACTAAATGTTGTAATGAAATCTGCAACAACTAAAGGTGTTTTTGATGGTGTCCGTATCCCTAACACAAATGTATGTTTATCCCACCTCCTGTACACAGATGATGCTTTATTTTTGGGAGATTGGACACGCAGAAATGTTGCAAACCTTGCCAGAATACTTAGATGCTTTTATGTTTCTTCTGGTTTAAAGGTGAATTTCTCTAAATCCAAGGTTTATGGGATTGAAGTTGTTGGATTAGTGTCTAAGTCCATAACTGTTTTGGTATGTACTTGACCCGATTATGAGCATGGTCCTTTTGGGTTGCCTTCACCATAGCAATATGTAGGATGAATTAAGGAGAGAAAGGTTTAAATATGATTTATTAATATATTATGAGAATAATATATTAAAGGAGAAATCATATTGTTTAATTAATATTAGTCAAGAATTAATTGATAATTAATTTTGTGGCTAAAAGAGATTAATTAAATATAGGGGACTGGACTGCAATTATTGGATAATTGAGTTATTGGGCTAAGGAATGCTAAAGGAATAAGGGGTGAACGAAATTATGATGGAAGCCCATCATATTTTCGTCCATAGCCTTGTCCAGAAGGTTCCATGGGCTGCTTAGAGTTTAAGCTGTCCATTAGGGTTTTGACTGAAACCCTAGCAGCCCACACAAGTATATAAAGGACCCCTTAGGCCCCAAAAACGTGGACAAACTTCCTAGGGTTTCCAGCCGTTTTTGGTGCCTCCTTTTCTTCTCCTCTTCATCCAAGTTGCATATGGTGTTTGTGACTCCATTAGAGGTACTACACTTGTGGTACTTGCTTTCAAGAGCTAAGGAAATTCAAGGAACTAGTTGTTATTGCTATATAACAACAAAAGGTATGTATTCTAGCTTTATATATGAATTTCGAAAATTATAGTAGCATGCCAGGTTTCTTTTTGTGTTCATAAAGCTGTATAACTAATAGTGAAAACATAGATCCAATACTAGGGTTGCATGCACACATAGGATTGTTTGTATAAAACCCAACAGTGGTATCAGAGCCATTGGTTTTTGTTTTCAATTAGCTTTTATTCAAATTTATGAACTTGACATATTAGGGTTTATGGCTAATAACCCTAAAGGCTAGGTAATTTTCGCAATTAGGGTTGCAAAACCCTAGATGGCGATTTTTGCTAGGGTTTCCCAAATCCTTTCCTTAGCCTCCAAGATTTTGAAATCTAGGGTTATCCAACCCTTGGATTTCGAAATTACCTCCTTCCCAAGGTTAGATCCTAAATTTTAGGGATTTGGATAATCCCATATCTTGTAATTATCTTTTAATTGTTAAATATGGTAATTAAAGATCTTGAATTATCCCATCCCTTATTTTCGAGATTTAGAGAGGGATTCAAGGGATTAGGATATCTTAGATGTATAATTGGTAATTATCCTCATGATCTAGATAATCCCTTGTGATTTAATAATTTAAATTAATTGTTTAATTTATGGTAATTATTAAATCAAGAGTTTTAATATTTAAAATTTTAATTTAAATGTCTTAAATTCGAAAATTTTAAGTGAGATTAAAACCTAATTGTTTTGAAGAGTTTCAAAACTTGCCCTCAAGTTTTGGAATTTAAATTGTTGATTAAAAGTTAATTTTGAAAGTCTAAATTCCAAAACCCTGATTTTGAAAAGTTCAAATTAAACCCTTATGGTTTTATTAAATTAATTAAGTGTATAATTAAAAGAGATTTAATAAATCCATAATGATTTTGGTTAGTTAAAAGTATAATTTAAACCACCTAGTATTTTAAAAGTGTAAAATACACCCTTATACTATATATAACATTAAAAGTTTAATATTATATATGTATAACTAAAAGTCAGTCTTACCGTTAGTAGGCCTCATTCACGAAACTAGTCTATAAGGGGTGTTTAAGGAAATTGCCTATAAAATGGCGATTGAATGGGTATCCACTCTTACCCACCGCACTCTTGACTAGTGGAGGGTCGTTAGCCGAACGGGTAGGATAGGACAGAAACCTTCCATTATAAGTATAATGAAGTACAAAGTAACTAAATGCTTTTTCAAATTCCCAAATCATAGTTACTTTAGGCAAAATGTGAAATTGTATGCTAACCCATGGAATTACACTTCGTACCCTTGTCAAACGTTAGTGGAGCGTGTGTGGTTAACCGGCACACTAATTTGGGGATGACATTGGTAGCGAAGGGTGACTCGATGTTTGTCATAGATCAATGGAGCGTGTGTGGCTAACCGGCACATTGATTAGGTGATAGTAACATTGGGTGCACCACGTGATTCGTATGGTTATTTACACCTTGTTTGTGATCCTCGGCATCCCAGTCACAAATAGTAGGGCATAATCGAGATTAAACATGCCATTGAAAAGTTCAATGAATCTCAAAAGATCTAGGAGTTTCAATTCATTTAAAACTTAAACTTCTTTTTCGTTTTTCATGGTGGAAATTGGTAAATCGTCATTTACCTACCTTCAATATTCTGCAACTAGATTACGGCATCCCTCTTCTAGGTTGTAGAGTATTGTGTTGGATCCTAGCTTGATGTTTCATTTGGGTGTTGCATCAAGAATTCTAATCAACTTAACTTGAATTTTCTCCCGTTTTGTAGATGTCTGAATCTTACAATGGTCTTCCCAAATCCTTTGGAACAAGCTTTCCAAATGAAGATGACGTTCCGAGATACGATCAAGGAAATGAGAGTCATGCTTCACTTCCTCCACCTCCTCCAATTATTCTCCCTGACCCACAAGTTCAAAGGCTTGAAAAGTTCAAGCTCACTCAAGCCCTTTTGGCAAGTAAACACGAAGATGGGAAACCTGTGTGTGCGCACGTCTTAGAGATGAAGTCATACATTGATAGGTTAAACATGTTGGGTGTCGAGATTTCAAGTGAGTTGGCTGTTGACTGGGTTCTTCAGTCACTTCCTGAATCATATAGTGAGTTCGTTAGAGAGTACTATATGATGGACCACGACGTGACCCTAATTGATCTCACCTATTTGCTTATAGCTGCTGAATCAGCAATGATTTGGCGTGCTGG